TTGCCCCAGGCTGGTCTCAAACTCCTGGCCTCAAGTGATCCGCCCACCTTGGCCTCCCAAAGTGCTGGGATTACAGGTGTGAGCCACCTTGCCCAGCCTAGTTTTTATTTCTTGATTGCCAGTTTTAGTTATTACCTGTTACCTTTTTATTAAGATGAGGATTTAGCCCTCCCATATTGTGCCTCCTGATCATGACACTGCTGTCTTTAGTTGTTTTGTTGATTGCTTCTGTTAGGTAGCATCAACTTCTGATTTTATCTTGTATGAGCTCCTGTCCTTTAACTATACTGTTAGACTATGGATACTTACATTCTATTCTGTAACCATGTTTTAAAATATTGGTTCTTTCTAAAAGCCAAATACTAATAAAGTATCATTTCTATGATGTAAAAATATTTACTGCAGAATCAAGTCATATACTATAATTCTATTTCCTTCTCCATGGCTCATGATCCCTCTGACATTCATTCATTCATTCATTCATTCATTCATTCATTGATTTATTTATTTATTTTGAGACAGAATCTTGCTCTGTTGCCCAGGCTGGAGTACAGTGGTGTGATCTTGGCTCACCACAACCTCTGCCTCCTAGGCTCAAGGGATTCTCGTGCCTCAGCCTCCTTAGTAGCTGGGATTACAGGCGTGTGCCACCACGCCTGGCTAATGTTTGTATTTTTAGTAGAGACGTGGTTTCACCATGTTGGCCAGGCTGGTCTCAAACTCTCGACCTCAAGTGATCCACCCGCCTCGGCCTCCCAAAGTGCTGGGATTACAGGCGTGAGCCAGTGCGCCCAGACCCCTCTGACATTTAGAAATAGAATATTCCTAACACTGTGGTTGAAAGAAATCTGATTTTCTATACCAATTGCTCAAAACATGACACATTTTAGTTTGCTGTTCCTTTTTGTACAGAAGCCTGCCTTCTCTCAGTGTTTTCCACACATTTTGCTGAAGTACATCTGCAAATAACCTACCCAGAAAGTGTTCACGCAGGCCAGGTGTGGTGCTCACGCCTGTGATCCCAGCACTTTGGGAGGCCGAGCTGGGTGGATCACGAGGTCATGAGATCGAGACCACAATGGCCAACATGGTGAAACCCCCGTCTCTACTAAAAATACAAAAATCAGCCGCGCATGGTGGCGGGCGCCTGTGTTCCCAGCTACTCAGGAGGCTGAGGCAGAAGAATCACTTGAACCCGGGAGGCAGAGGTTGCAGTGAGCCGAGATGCACCACTGCACTCCAGCCTGGCGACAGAGCGAGACTCCGTCTCAGAAAAATAAAATAAAAAAGTGTTTATGGGAAGTCAGTGTTTTAGTCCCGATGTGTGGTGACTTTCTTTTGCCTTCAGATTTAATGGATCTTAGGTTTAAAATGTTTAATCATTATTTGCAAGACCTTCCTCCACTGCCTTCTAGCATCCAGTATTTTTGCTATTCATTGAGCCAGTTTTGACACCTTTTTCTTGCGTAAGTGACCACTTTTTTATTTTCTTCCCAAAATACTTGTTACGTGATGGCACCGGTCCTTGTAGCTCTTCTTATTTTTCACTATTTCCCCCTTTCTGTTTTACACTTGGGAGGATTTCCTCAATTTCACATTGCAGACGTTCTTTGGAGTTTGCTCTTCAGTCATTTCCAGTTTCTTAGAACTTGCTCTTACTCATTTAAAAAGTCTGATCCTGTCTTGTTTTGTGAATGTGGTATATTTTTGGATCCTCCTATTTATGTTTTTCCTGAGTTTTTTCCCCCCCCTGTTATTTTAGTCCCACTCTTTTGTTCAGCAAGCTTTAGTCAACTCATTTGTAACCCTGAGTTGTCTATTCACATTTAATGAGGGAATAGGACTAGAAGCTATGTGGGTGAACAGGGAGCTAGAATTTTGGAGAATTTGTTCAGAGAACGTTCCCGTGGATTTTTGTTTTCCCTAAATGCATTTCTGGCTAGGATTGCTGGAACTTTGCTATTTTCCATAGGTGCTACTATTAATTTCCCTCTTTTCAGTTCCACCTCCCACTCCAGCTTTCAATAATACCATTATTTCTGAAGCCAGAACCTCTCCCAGGGATATTGACTTTTATCAGCTCCAGCTCCCTCCCATAGTTTTTAATAGTACTTTTAAACCATTCTCCAAAAAAGCCAGTAACCCATAGTGAATGATGAGGCTTAACAGCATAGTCAGTTAAAAGAGAAAAATAACCTTTTAGGGGTTGGGGGTTGCTTTTTAAATGTTTTAAGAATCAGAACGGTAATTATTTGGAAGTCTTTCAGGTACTACACTAAGTACGGATCTCACGGCACACTTGCTTTGTAACAATGTTTTTGCTCACTCTGACTCATCCAGGAGATCTGTTGGCTGCAAATGATGGTGAGCTTGGAAATGGCTCATTCTCAAGAGAGTCAGTCACCAAAACTCAAGTCATGCAAAGAGATCTGGCTTCCATAGAAAGCTTCTGAAGCTATGTGGCAATATATTTAAAACAAGCCACTAGCCCCTAAACAGGGTTAAATGGTTCTCCCTTTAAAAGAGAAATGTTTGTATAAATGTATAGTTTGCCTATGTTGGTTTGTTTTCAATGATCATGTCTTTAGTCACACTTTTATAACAGGTAGGACAGACTAGGAAAGCCCAATTAGGAGTAGCCCATTGCAGCAGTGCAGCTGCAGCCCGCGTGGGGTCACGGATGGGGACACAGATGAGGCTGGGGCCGAGGCTGGGGCCGAGGCTGGGTGACTGGGGGCCTAGTGATTCTGCTGATGGACACAGGGAAGGCTGGTTCCACACCACTCTGCTTCAACACTAACAGTTCACCAGAATCACTTAGGTACCTTTTACCAGACATTAATATCTGTGCCTTACCCAAGACCAGTTAAAACAAAATATTTCCTAAGTAGTCTAGAAGAGAAATGAAAACAAAAAATCTGAAAAATGAGTTTTCCCTTCTCAGTTTTTGTCACATCAAGAGTTAACCAAACAGTCTTGTATCTGTAATTTAATGTTTACATTTTTGGATTAAAGGACTTTGCCACGTTGTTCCTGCTGCTGCCTTTCTTTTAAAAATAGTCTTACCTGTAATACATACTGTCGAGCTCTGTCTACATCTCCCGGCAAACTGAACCTTCGCATGATCATAGCATTCATTTCTGGGAACTAAGAAAAAAGAGAGAAAATCTGTTTATTTCTCTTGGGGGAAACAAGTGTTCTAACACTAGTTTGTAACAACAGGAAATAAGAAACAACAAAAATGTAATTAAATGTCTAGATGATGTGGGGGAGCAATAAACTGTGGCAACAAAAGCTGAGCTAAGAGACATCCACTGTCTATGCCTAGGCACTGTGGTGGTGTACAGGAGGAGAGACACTAGTCCTTGTTTATTCTGATGTTTTATCCTAGTCCAACACTGAGTAAGAGAGGCAGGAGGAATAAAGTACATCTCAACAACAACATGGTTCTGGCTGGGTGTGGTGGCTCACGCCTGTAATCCCAGCACTTTGGGAGGCCGAGGTGGGCGGATCACCTGAGGTCAGGAGTTTGAGACCAGCCTGGCTAACATGGTGAAACTCTGTTTCTACTAAAAATATAAAAAAATTAGCCGGGCGTGGTGGTGCACGCCTGTAATCCCAGCTACTCAGGAGGCTGAGGCAAGAGAATTGCTTGAACCCTGGAGGCGGAGGTTGCAGTGAGCCGAGATTGCGCCACTGCACTCCAGCTTGGGCAACAAGAGTGAAACTCCATCTCAAATAAAAAAATAAAAAACAACATGGTTGGTAAACTTGAAATTGTATCAGGATCGCCTGTACTGCTTGTGGGGCCTCTCCCCCAGTTTCTGATTGAGTAGGGGTGGAGCCTTGGCATGCATTTCTAACAGATTCCCAGGTGACACCAGTATCTCTGGTCTCTGCCAACATTTTGCGAGTCACTGGCCTAGGATGAGGATGGGAATTAGGCATTCTACTCTAAGTACTAAATTGATTACCAACTGAAAGCTATTGAGGTTTCTGAGCAGAGAGCATTACGTGCAGAGCTCTGCCTTAAGCAGTGTGTACAGTGGATCTGAGCAGTGGTGCATGACACTGACTGCATACTGGGATCAGCTGGGGAGGTTTTTGTGTGTGTTTTTTTTTTCTTCTGAGATGGAGTTTCGCTGTGTCGCCCAGGCTGGAGTGCAATGGCACGATCTCAGCTCACTGCAAACTCCGCCTTCCTGGTTCAAGCGATTCTCTGCCTCAGCCTCTTGAGTAGCAGGGACTACAGATGTGCGCCACCACACCTGGCTAATTTTGTATTTTTAGTAGAGACAGGGTTTTGCCATATTGGCCAGGCTGGTCTTGAACTCCTGACTTCAGGTGATCTGTCCACCTCAGCCTCCCAAAGTGCTGGGATTACAGGTGTGAACCACTGCGCCTTGCCTGGGGAGGTACAGTTGCCTAGATCCTGTTCCCAGAGATTTTGATTATATTGGCTTGGTGCTTAGTCTGGGCACCAGGATTTTCAACCCCCTCCCATCTACTCTGATATTTTTAATGTGCAGCCAAGGTTGAGAACCATGGAACTAAGAGAGTCAGAGGTAGACGGAACAAACAGGTTACTAGAGTAGTTTATAAAAAAGACCTGAATTAACCTGATAGCAAGAAGAGGGGAAAAAAAAAGGGTAAAAATTCAATTGAAGGTAAAATCGATATTCTACAATACTTAGCAACTATTTACAACTGTCACCATTAACAGAATACAAAAGCCAGGACACCAAATCACTTCACTTCCTAGATCTGAGCTCTAGTCTTGGTTTGGCTACCAACTGCCACAGCTGAGTGACTTCCTTAGTCCCTGGGGTCTTAGGCTTCTCCTCTTCATGACCGGAAGCCCTTGAGCTCTAACAGTCTATGGCTCCACGGAAGAGGTAAGATGTGTTTGGTTTTGGCCACGTCAGTGCTTATAGCAGTTGCCAGTTTTTCCCTGGCAGTGAACCTGAAGATGAAATAAGTTGTCCTGTAACCATGACCATGGTATTAGTAATCCTAGAAGAAAAAATAGGGCATACATAGAAAAGCCTCAGCCGAGTGATCACAGACGAAGAAAGAATGTTTCTTTCAGACCAAAATATGTGTCAGAACAAAGCTCTAAACATGTAGAGACTGCTAATGTGTTTACAGAATTTATAGAGCCAGCAACTGGTTAGTTCTTATGAAAACCAGTAATTTCCTTTAGTTACTGGTGTTTTAAGAAGAAAACAAGCTACTAGAAAGAAATTAGGGAAGCCCAAATCAACTTCTGTGGTAAAAAAGCCAAATCAAGTAGGTTTTAGTTTTGTTTTGAGACTTGTTCTGTTGCCCAGGCTGGAGTGCAGTGGTGCAATCATAGCTCACTGCAGCCTCAAACTCCTATAGGTTCAAGTGATCCTCCTGTCTCAGCCTCCCAAGTAGCTGGGACTACAGGCATGCACCTGGCTAATTTTTTAAAATTAAAAAAAAATTTTTTTTTGAGATGGAGTCTCACTCTGTCGCCCAGGCTGCAGTGCAGTGGCACAATCTTGACTCACCGCAACCTCCGCCTCCCGGGTTCAAACGATTCTTCTGCCTCAGCCTCCCGAGTAGCTGGGACTACGGGGCACATGCCACCACACCCTGCTAATTTTTTGTATTTTTAATAGAGACGGGGTTTCACCATGTTAGCCAGGATAGTCTTGATCTCCTGACCTTGTGATCCGCCCACCTCGGCGTCCCAAAGTGCTGGGATTACAGGCGTGAGCCACTGCGCCTGGCCAATTTTTCAATTTTTTATAGAGATGGGGTCTTGCCTTGTTGCCTGGGCTGGTGTCAAACTCCTGGCTTCACATGATCCTCTCACCTGGGCCTCCCAGAGTGCTGGGATTATGGGTGTGAGCCACTACACATAGCCTGTTTTCGTTTTTTAATACCACATACTTGCTGGATATCTAGAAGGTTTTATCGTTAACACTAATGTGATCCTCTTGTAGGCATCTGGTGACATTACTGTGTTTATGATGTATAAGCTTTTTCTACAGTACCAGCAAGTGTAGTAAGATGTGCTGACTGGGTGTTTTCACTGATGCTTTTACTATGAAAAGCACTGAGAAAGCAAAATTTGAAAAAATTATTTGCATTGAGTGACTACATCCTTCCTTCCAAACATGTCATGTGTGCAATTATAATATGCAAAACATCGAACTTTTCCCCGGGCACTCCCCAGTCCCCTTCATGTGTATGTGGAAAAGAAAAGAGAAACACAGCAGGAAGAACAATTGCCTGCAGATTTAGTGACAAATAAAAGTTCTGTTTGCTCAGGTGGTGTTTTTAAGAGTAGGAAAACCACCTGTGGGTAAATCAGGTTGTAGCGCTGTGAAACCCATCCATACACTAAACCGCCAAGGTGATCAGTAGATGAGTTTTCCCAAGCAAAATGTGGGTCACTCTAAGGCACCAACTAGTCACCACGACAGCATAAGGCCTGTGCAGCTGGTGCAGGGGCTGGTGATGGCATTTGGAAACGTGGCTACAGCTGACATTTGGGTCTAGTGACTTAGCAAATAAGGAAGAGAAGCAGAAGAAAGGAAAGATTTGTTTTTGTTAAAAAAGATATTTGAAGAGTAATGAAGTTTCATCAGATAAAGTAAAGCACTTCCATTTTGTTTCTGAAGCTTTCAAAATCCAATTAACTTGAGGTTTTTGTTCTTAAAGAGAATATGTACACATATACATACATACATACATGGGAGGATGTTGTCATCCCTGGGACTTCTCCAGAAATCCCCAAAACTCTTCTTAAATCCTCTGAACCAACTGTTACCAGGAAACCCCTTAAGAGAGATGTTAAAAATAAAGGAACTCCAAAGAGAGGGGGTTTCTGTCAAGTGCTGGGTGGAGCAAACTCCAAGACAACCCACCACACCAAGTTAAAAAGGAAAAGGTGGTTTCCCAAGAATGCTTGCCCTGGCCCAGTGTTCACAAATGGAAAAGCTCAAAGAGCGTCTCATCAGCACACACAACTCACCTACCAAAGGAAAAGGATTACAGACGTCTTAGAACTCCTCCACTAAGTAGGTATGTTGTTCACAATAACAAAGACATCACACAGAGATGATTCTTTGAGTATCATCAGTGCCCGGGTGGGTTAGTTACCTGCTCTGTGGGAAGGCCTGTTTGGTATCACAGCTACTAACTTCTCAGCATTACCAGTGACAATAACACTGTGTATGATGTAATAAAATAATACTGGTCTTAGACTTGTTCAGTTCCCTGCTGTGCCATTTACCAGATGTTTAATTTTGGCGAGGTTTGAGCATCAGTTTCTTGTAGAATAGGCACCATGATATCTACCACAAAGAGGAGTTGTGAGATTAGAGATAATGTATGAAAGAATCCTTTGTAAACTAAAAACACATTTTCATTAAGTGGAGATACTGCACATTCTTAATGTTATTTTTGGAACTTGTTTTTACCCAGAATGAATTTTAGTCCCAAAAATCTTCTGACACATTTCTTGCTAAGAATCTCTTGTTTGACAGTGTATTCCACAAAAGAGCCTAACCTTGCTGTTTTATTAGAAGGCAACTTATAAATACATATTTGGCTAACGTCTGGCCCACGTGCCACAAGACAGAAACAGCAGTCTACTTTTGAAATGAGTTCTGTCCAGAGTCACTTCCTGCTTGGACTCCATTCTGTGTTCCCTTTTCTGAGGCTGCAATGTGCCTTTTAAACTCACTGCCTTATGGGCCGATGAGAACACTGCTGTCTGGTGACTGTGAGTAGGTGCCTCATGACTGGGATTTCCCAGTAAAGCACACACAAAACCATGGCTCGGGGTACAGTAATCTTTTTTCTTCCTTTTGCTTGCGTTTTTTAACCAGCATTTTTCTTTCTTTCTCTTTTTTTTTTGTTTTGAGATGGAGTCTCACTCTGTCGCCCAGGCTAGAGTGCAGTGGTGCGATCTCAGCTCACTGCAACCTCCGCCTCCCAGGTTCAAACGATTCTCCTTCCTCGGCCTCCCGAGTAGCTGGGATTACAGGCGTGCACCACCATGCCTGGCTAACTTTTGTATTTTTAGTAGAGACAGGGTTTCACCATATTGGTCAGGCTGGTGTTGAACTCCTGACCTTGTGATCCACCTGCCTTGGCCTCCCAAAGTGCTGGAATTACAGGCATGAGCCACTGCACCCAGCCTTAACCAGCATTTTTCAATCTCTTATAGATTACTGACAGATACTATGTAGAAGAGGTCCATCTCCCCTGTCCCCTACTATATATGAAGGCAGAGTTAGCCGTTACTCCTTTGTGTGTGGAGGGGAAAGTAAGTTAGTTTCTTTCGAAATACATTCAGAGTGAAACTTAAGGTTTAAGAAGGACTCAACCGATAACTTGGTATTCTGGGGTTCATAACAAGTATTTAACAACTTGAAGATTTTTACAAATACAGCAACCAAAACGTTTTCAGCGCCTTCTCCAGGGAGAGGCTTTTTCCTTCTATCCTGACAATCTTAGAGCCTAGGTAGAGGAATCTTTACCAAGCTAGCTGGATTTCAGCACACTCAGTCCGTCTTACTGTCCTTCACTCATGTTTACTAACAAGCATCTGAGAAGTAATGTTTGCAGTTGTATAGGTGGAAGCCAGTGCCTCATTTTTCTAATCCCCGGCATAGTATCTACACGGCTCAAACGTTCCTCACTCATGCCTCAATGTACAAAAGGGGATTTTTAGAAATTTTTGTCAAAACTGGGCACATGTATTATGCTCCTTGATTTTGGGCTGGCAAGTAAGTCTCATTGGGAGAGAGGACCTATTTATAGCATATCTTTCACTTCTTACCTCAGCCTCCAAAGTCTGAGAGGATGGAAGCCTTGTAATAATGAGGGCAGGTGTTCCTTCAAAGTGCCCTGACATCTCCATTCATAGCCCTAGCAAGCTGCCCAAGTAGCCTGGCCCAGTCACCCAGAACATCAGCCTCCCCTGGGAAGAATCACGCTGCCAATGGCTGTGCTAGATAGTGGGTGAAAGATAATCTTTCCTCTCTCCAATAGAAACCCACCAAAAGCAAGGGTCATGGTTTCTGTATCACAGTGGAATCACTGAATTCTATGGAGGACATGATTGACCTTTGTAAACGTGAAGACAGAATGAGGCAAAATCTCTGAAAGACCAAAAGTTACTATAATTTTAGACCAAAGAGCTAATGTTGAATTTCATGGCACGGTGATGAACATCTTACTGCTTTGCTACATACCAAATTAAATACTACTAAGATGAAAATCTATTAACAAGATGTTCCAACACCAACTAATGTCTCACTTATTTCAAGTAACATTCAGTACAGCCACAAGCCATGTGGCCAGCATCTAGAGGAGGCTGTGAGGATGTCTGCTTTGTCAGTCGAGGGAACATCTTTGAAGCTTCCTAAGCCTTTCATTCACATTAAGGGGGACACGAGGGCAGCTGTACTGACTTCCTCACTTCTCAGTCCCTCAATCCGGAGAAAGAAGGAACTATGTGGGTCTACCGCACTCCACTGACTTCTTGACATTTTGAGGCAATGGCCGAAGTTCTAAGGCCTCTCTCAGAGCAGCAGAGTCTCATTAAACTTCTAAAACTGGAGAATTTCTTATGCTTGGAGGGCCCTGATGCTTCCTGTGCCTTTTAAGGGGCTCTGAGGACCACCAGAGTCCAGTCCTATAATCAACACTTGGAAACTGTTCACTTTGCCAGTGGCCAAAATATATGGAAATAATCATGATGCTACCTCAAATGCCTCTGGCACACCACAAGACACAAAGATCTTAAATAGGATCTTAGCTAATCCTCACAACCCCCCTGGGAGAAAGCTGATCTTCTCAATTTTACAGATAAGGAAACAGGCTTAGCAAGGTGAAATGACCAGCCCTAACATCTCACTCAGAGCCGGGATCAAATGCAGACCTGTGATCTCTTACCTGAATGCCTTCCCATCTATTCCGTTACGCAACCTTCCCATCAGGTGTGTCGCGGGACATCAGTTCTGTGGGGCTATCAGTGGTGTGTCGAAGGGAGTTCGTAACACTTACCTGCTGACAGGCAAACAGGACAGGACCAGTGGCTAACCCGAGCTTCAGATCAGCTGATGTTGGTTTGCCCATCTGGTCAGAACATGAGGTGAAGTCCAACACATCATCTATTAGCTGGCAAAAGGAAAAATGGGATGTAAGGAGCACCGCCAGGCCAACATCGCTGCCATTGTTCCTGCTATTTTGGCAATTCCACACTAGGGGAGAATGCTGACTGTATCACGGTGCTACCATTCTTTTTTTTTTTTTTTTTTTTTTTTTTTGAGACAGAGTCTTGCTCTTGTTGCCCGGGCTGGAGTGCAGTGGCCGGAACTCAGCTCACTGCAAGCTCCACCTCCCGGGTTCACGCCATTCTCCGGCCTCAGCCTCCCGAGTAGCTGGGACTACAGGTGCCCGCCACCTCGCCCGGCTAGTTTTTTGTATTTCTTAGTAGAGACGGGGTTTCACCGTGTTAGCCAGGATGGTCTCGATCTCCTGACCTCGTGATCCACCCGTCTCGGCCTCCCAAAGTGCTGGGATTACAGGCTTGAGCCACCGCGCCCGGCCTGGTGCTACCATTCTTACAAATAAAAAGCATACCAACCTGAAAAGCTATTCCTACATTTTTTCCGTACTGATAGGCGATCTCATGCACCACTGGGTCGGGACATCCTAGAACAGAGACCTGAAACAAAAAGAGCATTCTGAGATAAGCTGCTTCCAGCCAGCAGTACAGCAGCTGACCCCTGACTGAAGGAATTCCTTAAAATAGGAGGTAGCGGGGCTAGATTATACACAGTCAGGAGACGCTGACATCAGAGGGACACCAAGCATGTACAAAACCGCATTTCCAATCACAGAGTTTCAGCCTCAGATTGTGTCGTTAAATTCTAAGAAAATTCCCCTTCTCCGGCCCCTGCTTTCAGACAGGATAAGCAGCCTTTCCCACTGCTTAGGAAAAACGGAGCTACAGCTGGACTAATTCTGCTGGTAACAGGCTAAGTAAACCTTCCTGACATGCACAAGAAACAGACCCTCATCTGTGAAATACTGACTTCCAGCACTCAGCAAGCGAGCTCAATTACTGTTGGCTTTAATAATCTCCATCAATGTGTCCCTCATTTCAGGAAGAGATACTCATGTAATCACACACAATTTCCCCATCTGTAGTCCTTTTCATCATCTTTGGGAATTTCACCTGTTTCTGAATGCAGTTATTTCTTGCTTTGTCCATAAAAATCGTCTCAAGCCTCCTGCTTCAGACACAGATATCGCTTTTTTATTATCAGAAGGAACTTCACTGGTCCCACTGTTTCCACATCTCTCTCAAAAGGAGTTACTGTATAAAAACCCTTTTCCCTCCTCTCAGTGGGGGAGAAATAAGACTTCGGAAAGTCTTTTTAAAACTCCAAAAAGCTAGCTGGCACCGGCCACTGAAGTGCATTTCCCAGTGCCCTGCTAAGCATGTTAAGCAGGCCCAGCCACATTTTCAGAAAACAAAGCCTGGGTAAAACCAACACGGGGGAGGGGAGAGATGGTCTGTGTCTACCGGAGAGACGTCTCTGCTCAATCTCCGTGAGAAAGCCAGCTGGAGTGCTGCACAGTTAGTTGCCTTTCTGAAAGGCTCGCAGATGCTAGGAAACCCTGTCCCCTGACCTTCGGTCCTGCCTCTGTGGCTCTCCGGTCAGGGAGTGAACTTGGCTCAGGCATCCGTGTGGTGCAGCGCTGCAGGCTCTGCCGTGAGACTGTGGGGCTACATTTGTGACCTTTACAAGTACCACGTGACGTCGGCATGTTACTGAACCTCTCTCGGCTTCAGCTTCCTCATCTGTACAATGTGGAAATCACAAGCACCTACCTTGTAGCGTTACTGTGAGAAACAGACATGATGCTGCATTTAAACCCTCAGTATAGTGCCTGGCGCCTGGTTAGAACTCAATGTGTGTTTGCTATTATTATCTCTTTTTAGAAATAGGATGTCACTCTGTTGCCCAAGCTGGGGTGCAGTGGTGCAATCACAGCTCACTGTAACCTTGAACTCCCAGGCTCAAGGGTTCCTTCCGCCTCAGTCTCCTGAGTAGCTGGGACTACAGGCACGTGCAACCACACCCAGCTAATGTTTAATTTTTTCGTAGAGATGGAGTCTCACCATGTTGTCTAGGCTGGCCTCAAACTCCTGGGCTCATGATCCTCCCACCTCCACCTCCCAAAGCGTTGGGATTACCACCAGGTGTGAGCCACCGCACCCTGCTGTTTGCCATTATTATGAATAATTGTCCTCCTCCTCATCCACTGGAACCAGAAATAGGAGCCTTGGCAGTGTCCACGCACCTCCGCCAACTGAAGCCAGGTCGCATAATGTCCTCAGCCTGAGAATACTTTTTGACAACTTAATGAGGTCTGTTGACTATGTAGGGCTTGGCCATAAGTACATGGTAAAATTGCATGCACCATAAAGGTGGCCACAGACTTGAGTGAACAGTAACTGCTTTCAACAGCAAACCCCTTCCCGTGGGCAGGCACTGACCTCTGGGCAGTCAGGCAGGGCTCCTTTTTTCAACTAAAGAGTCTGGGAGACCACATGGGGGACAATTCAGAAACTTCTGAGAAGCTAAGATCAGCTTGGCTCAGAGGAGAGCATGGCAAGATCTGGGCAGCCTGGGATGTGCTGAGCTCAGGCCAGAATGATACTGGGAACCAAGATAATCCTAGATAGAAATCACTGAGAGTGAAGCAGTCTCCTGTAGTGAGATTAATGCTGTTTCCTCCACACAAAGCCATAGAGAATATAAACTTTCTTCCTGGAAAGTGAAAGATTTTCTAAAAATCCATTTCTTTTTTTGGAGACAGAGTCTCTCTGTCACTCAGGCTAGAGTGCAGCGGCACGATCTGGGCTCACTGTAATCTCCACCTCCCAGGTTTAAGCGAGTCTCCTGCCTCAGCCTCCATGCGCCACCATGCCCAGATAATTTTTGTATCTAGTAGAGACGGGGTTTCACTAAGTTGGCCAGGCTGGTCTCAAACTCCTGACCTCAGGTGATCTGCTTGACTCAGCCTCCCAAAGTGCTAGGATTACAGGTGTGAGCCACCGCGCCCGGCCTAAAAATCTGTTAGTGAACATTTTAATGGAGTAAAATGTGTGGAGCACGTATGATGAGTACTTGGTATGATTTGAGCTAAACCTCACAATATCCCACAAATATGGATTATGTGGTTGGTGATGATAAAAGCTAACAATTCCTGAGTATCCACTATGTGCCAGGCACTGTTCTGAGAATTCTCACCTTTTAAGTCACTTATGAGGTTCGAGAAACTGAGGCACAGACGGTCCCAGGCATTACATGGCTCTGACACGCTGGAACCTGAATTTCATCCCAGACGGTCTGGTTCTAGGTACTGTTCTCTCCATCACTTTGCTGTGCTGCTTCTATGCTGGGCAATAAAATGGAACCTCCAAGAGGTCAAGGAACGTGTCCAAGTACGCACAAAGCTGCAGTCTGTCTGCACTGCCCCCTCTACGCCCACACATGCTGACACAGAGGTTATTTAGTGGGCGGCTTCTGCCTGACACATGGCGAAGGGACATTACTGCTCAGATTTCAACTATCCCAGATTTCCCTGGGGTGGCATAAAGACCATGCCAGAGAGTCCTGCTTCCCCATCCCAGGTCAGGACTGTCTGGATCTGTGGCAGGAAAACAGAAAACTGCCACAAATTAGACACAACATGGCACAACATACAAGAAGGCAAAGAGGTGCGCAGACTTGCGCTCAGCATCAGAGACATGCCTCACATCTTTCCGGAAATGGGTGGAGCATGAAGAATGATTAAGTCAAAGAAAGTGGAGCTCGACCGACTGTTTTGTTTGAAGCAGATGCTGCAGCCAGGCTGTGTTGTGCATATGCACTTCTTTCTGGGGAACGTTCACACCTTGCATCACATCCTTACAAGCCTTGTCTCAACAAGATGGGGAAGGGCCGGGCGCAGTGGCTCATGCCTGTAATCCCAGCTACCTGGGAGGCTGGGGCAGGAGAATTGCTTGAACCTGGGAGGTGGAGGTTGCAGTGAGCCGAGATCGTGCCACTGCACTCCAGCCTGGGTGACAGAGTAAGACTCCGATAAATAAATAAATAAATAAATAAATGGCCCTTAAGCATCTGAAAAATGTTCCACTCACTCAGAAAGGAGAGATGTAAATTAAAAGTCCACCGCAATACATTCTCCTCTACTGGACTAGCAAAAACTCAAAAGTGTTATGGCACATTCAGTTAGTAAGGCTGTGGGAAAAGAGGTTCTGAAAAGCTGCTGGTGGAAACACATCTGGTACAGACCCAACAGAGGGAAATGTGGTGCTGCCTAACAAAACCATATGTGCAATTACCCCTAAATTCACCCTGCAGGCACTCCTCTCACAATACAAAAATAGGTTTATGCAAGGCCAGCCCTTGCAGTAGTGTTTGTAATTGCAAAACTGGAAACCTAAATGCCCATGTATAGAAGGTTGGTTGAACAAACCATGCTATGTCCACACAATGGGATCTGATACAGAAGCTTTAAAAAAAGTTTTAATTAATTATTATTATTAATTTTTTTGAGATGGGAGTCTCACTCTGTAGCCCACGCTGGAGTACAGTAACGTGATCTCGGCTCACTGCAACCTCCACCTCCCGGGTTCAAGCTATTCTTGTGCCTCAGCCTCCCAAATAGCTGGGATTACAGCCATATACCACCACAGCTGGCTAATTTTTGTACTTTTAGTAGAGATACGGTTTCACCATGTTGGCCTCAAGTGATCTGCCTGCTTTGGCCTCCCGAAGTGCTGGGATTACAGGTGCGCACCTCCACGCCCAGCTAATTTTTGTATTTTTAGTAGAGAACGGGTTTCACCATGTTGGCCCGGCTGCTCTTGAACTCCTGACCTCATGATTTGGCCACCTCAGCCTCCCAAAGTGCTGGGATTACAAGCATGAGTCACCATGCCCAGCCCTGACACAGCAGTTTTAGAAATGAGGAAGATCCTACAAACCAATGTGGAATCATTTTCCTAATAAACTGTTAAGAAATGCAAAGTAAAGCAGAGTAGTCTAGGGTACTACCTCTTCTGTAAGAAAGAAGGGAAGATTGAGCATACTTGTGGCTGCTTATTTGTGCGAAATGAAACCCAGGAAGGAGGAACCAGAAACGAACAAGACTGCTTACCTACAAGGGGGCAGGGGAAGAGAACAGGGCAAAAGGGAGAGTTACTGTATTGCATAGTTCTGACTTTTGGAGCTAATTTTTCTTTTTCTTTTTTTAGATAGGGTCTCACTCTGTTGCCAAGCTAGAGTGCAGTGGTGTGATCATGGCTCACTGCAGCCTCAACCTCCCAGGGCTCAGGTGATCCTCCCACCTCAGCCTCCCAGGTAGCTGGGACTACAGGTGTGCACTACCACGCCCAGCTAATTTTTGTATTCCTGTAGAAAGAGGTTTCGCCATGTTGCCCAGGCTGGTCTCAAACTCCTGGGCTCAAGCAATCCGTCTGCCTTGGCCTCCCAAAGTGCTAGGATTACAGGCGTGAGCCACTGCGCCCGGCCACATTGTTTCAAACATTCAAAACAACAGCAACAATAACAAAACGCTCAAAACCAAAACCCGAAATCAGCAAGAATGAAAGGGAATCCCTAAAATGGAATAAAAATGAACCCA